GATAAGAGCCAAGTGACCTGGGGTCACACCTCCCTTTTGCTTTCTTTCCTGCTCAGTAAACTGTGACACGCCCTTTCTTAGTTCTCATTTTTGTTACATCTTAACGTGGATTCACATTCAGTTTTGTGCTTTAAAAGGCCACATAGCTTGATTTGAGAAAGGCTGTCACAGTTTTCCAGTCTCTCTTCCATGCTCCCTGAAGAAACATGTCCGTGGTTCCAGTGACAAGTTGACCTCCTGCTTCTAGAGCTATGCCAAACATACCAATGATGGAGGCCTTACTCAGCAGTCGAGGAAAAACCCTCCAGCTTGCTGAATTCATCAGCAACACAGTGGAAAAGTAAGTTCTCTCAAAGAGAGAAAATATAAATCAGAAGCAGCATAGCCAACAGAAACACACACACACACACACACACACACACACACACACACGGTGGGAAGTCTGGAGAGCCGGTGTCTAACAGCAAGTTTTATACGGGCTTCCGCCCGTGTCTCGTGAGCCCATCAGGGATCACTCCTGCCCATTCCACTTCGTGATTGCCTTGGAAGGAAAGAAATAACATGTGGAAAAAATTAAAATAACTTGTAACTGTTTCTAGGGCAGCGTTAAGGCTTATGCTAAAATAACAAGACTGATTATCAGATGCTGGCTGTCCTAGATAGGGGAGATGCTGCTGGTCACCCAGCCCCAAACCCATTCACTCCCCTCCCCTTTCTCTTGCCCATCTTAATCGAAGAGACAGGAAATGTCCCCATTGTAGCTAATGCCAGCCATGTGACACAGTTCTGGCCAATGAGACTTCAGTGGAAATTTGTCAGGGACTTCTGGAGAAAGTCTTTTGCCTTTTTATTCTAAGAGGGACCAAGCTGACTTGGATTTCTGTATGTTTAAAAATTTTTGAAATACAGATTTAAAAAAAATTTTACTCTTAAATTTTGCTTCATCCTACAGTTAGTTTTGAAAAGTCCAGTGAAATTTCAGATCATTACATGGTCATTCCTTTTTGGGTAAAATTAATTTAGTTAAATCTTGCAGTAATGATGTATTGGGGCCAGTGTATCCGAGATACTTTGGAATGCTTTGGCTGGAGGCAACAGAAAACTCCACTATAAAAATCTTAAACAAGGACTCTCAAGGTAGGTCATCTAGAGCTGGGGGAACAGCTCAGGTTCTTTCCGTACCATAATTCTTCGTGAGGTAGGGAGGCTGGAGGGACCCCATTTTGGAAACACTCCATCTCTGTTTTCCTGCAAGGCCCTCATGATGTTCCCACTGTAAGAGGTAAGCAAGAAAGTTCATCGTTCTCTGAGTTTTTGTCCTAGGCTCCCAAACACCTGATCACATCTAGGAAGAGTCAGATCCCAAATATGTTCCAGAACATTGGCTTCAAACAAACCTCGGTCTACCCTGGCATCAGCAGCCCCTACCTTCAATGATCCATAAAAAAACACCTATTATTCAGCCGCTCACCTTTGATCAGACCTTACTCTGGATCCCTGCAGGAACACATATCCTGGACTCCTTTTCCAGTATGAACCCCTAGCTCCAAATGATGAAGACTCATTCGCCCTTCCCTTCTGAGTCTCCCAGACACTCCAGCTGCTCTTTACCTCGCACTTTCGCTATTCAGTAAATTCTGCTTTCACTTTCTCAGCTTGCATTTGATTTCTATCCTGCACAAAGCCGATTTGCCGGGCCCCTACTGTCCTTGGACTAACCTACCTGCAACATTAGCATGTTGACCTGTTGTCTCATGATCACAAAATGGCTGCTTTAGCTCCAGGAGCATGTTTAATTTCACTACAGATTTATATTTTGGAAGTTTTCAAACATGCAGAGAAACACAAGCATAAAGAATGTTTTTCCTCTCTCACACACCCACGGGAGGGGCCACTGCCCAGCCTCTACCTGTGTCCCTCCAGAGATGTGGAACTTATAAGGCAGTCTTTTCTTTTTTTTTTTTTTTAACTTTTAATTGCTAGAAAAATCTTTTGAACCTTGAACTAACACTTACCCCCTGTAATATTTTTCCCTGCTCTCTAGAGTGACAGTGTATAGGCCTTGTTATAAAAGCCCGAGGGGCATTTTCTCTATCTATGGATCTTGGAGCCCACTCAGAAGAGGGGTATTTCAGGGGAGGGTCACAGATAGAAAGGAAACAGGCCTGTCCATCTGCTGAAGTGCGAGCACATTCCAGAGGCCAGAGCCTCCCCTTGAGCAGGAATGTGGAGAGGAGGACTGGTGTGCCCTCCCCCCTTCCTCCCACCCACCATCTATTTGCCTGGCTGTCAGGCTGGGGCAGGGGAGGGGTACAGGACAAAGACTTCTGTGGTCAGAACTCCAGTCGACAATGACTGAGCAGTCAGAATCCAGTCCAGACAATCACTCTGCTACCGGTAGGTTCTCCCCGAGTGTGGCATTGAGCTGAAGAGTCCACAACCAGCATCTAGCCATTCTTGGCATCTGAAAGGCCCCACACCCCGACCCGGAGCAGGTGTGCTTTGGGTTGTTTCTCCAGCTGTGATGACGCTGGGTTCAGGCCCGAGGCCCGACTGGCTGCTGGTACACCTCTGGGCGGAGCTTGGTCTCAGCCACAAGAGTGAAGAAATTTCCCCTGGTCCCCAGAGCCCATAGGTGCCCACACAAACAGTCTCTGTTTCGACCCATGTATGGGAGGGAAGATGCCCAGGACCTGGGGGTGGAAAGGGCACAAACACGTGTGTCTCTGAATCACTGGGGCATCCGCTGATCTTGCTGAGCTCACCACTGCCTGCGAGGGGGGGGGGGGGCCCCTGGCTGCCAGGCACGCTCTCCAGGAGAGGTTTAATTGTGGCTGGCGGGCTCTGGGATCATCCTCAGAGAGGCCGCAGCCCAGAGGTTCTGCTGCTGGAGGTGCGTTATGAGAAAAAATTAAGAAAGCTTATACCCAGTTACCTTGACCTGAGGTCATAAGCACAGTCACGTGTGAGCATGTGTGTGTAGATAGATAGATGTCATGTCTCATATTCCTTTGTCACAGAAATAATGAAATGACCTTCCAACCGCCCTCCTGTTAAGGCTGCCCAACACGCAACCCACAGCATAAAGGCCAAAGGAACCCGTCCAGCTCTCCCAGGCAGCTGAGCCACGGGACTTGAGAGCCCACCAGGGTCTCCCTAACCCCAGAGGGGTGGGGGTGGGGGATGGCGGCCAAGATCCACTGCTGTTTCTGCCACGAGCAACGGCAGAGAGCTAGACACGAATTCAGCTGATTTCCTCGCAGCTAGTAAATATCAGCTCAATCCGAGGGGCTGCCCAGTTTTCCTGGGCTACAGGCTACCTGTGTACAACAAGGAATACAGAACCACCCTCCCGCTGCTCCGATGACTGTGCCAACTCAATATTTCCCCCGTGCCTCCCGTGTTACCAGGACTTTGTGCATCAGTATTTCGATTCTGGACTCTGGGAATGAAAGATAAAGACAGGTGCCATCTGAGCTGCTCAGTGTCTACTTAGGAGGCTCAATTTCCCAGCCAGTTCCAAGCAAGTGTTCGTGGGTCTTTCATTCCTTCACGCAACAGGGACTCCTTGAACACCAGGTTCCAGGTGTCCAACATTAACCCTACAGACACAGCCTTGGCTTTGCAGAGCCAGCAGGACAGTGGGGGATGTGCATTGATGGCTAGCACCTCCCTAGCGTCCACTCTGGCCCAGCACTGTCCTTGCCCCTCACGTGCAGCTTCCTTCTCATGAATCCACACAAAAGATGAGGAATCTGAGGCACCAGAAAGTTAAGTAAATTACTCAAGATTGCCCATCGGGGAAAGGGTAGATCCAGGTTCCAAACCCACAGGAACAGGCTGCATAGTTCTTGCATTTGACTCCTACGTGATTCTGCCCATGTGAAGGCAACCCCGAAGACCACAGATGCATGAAGGATTCAGAGAGTGAATTGCCTCCAAGGGCAAGTGCAGGGACACGTGGTGGGGAAATGGCCTGGTCAGAGCTCTCTGAAGGGTCACGTGTAGGCTGAAGAAGGAGCGCTGGCCAAGGAGGGAACTTTTGGAGCATCGGTGAGGACAAAACCACAGTGGATGGGGACAAGGAAAGTGGAAAGACAAACTCACTGGTCACCATTGGAGGATGTTAATGGACCGATTCACTGAGTTCAAAATAAGTCCTTATTTTGAATGCTAGTAAATAAAGGAAAAGAATCCCGTTCTGCTTGTTTTGTTTGTGTGGCCACAGGGTAAACATACAGTAGATGGGAATTTTCTGTTTATAGAAGAATTCTGGCTACAAACGAAGAAGCAATGAGAGAATAGAACATAACTGTTGGCAAGGATTACAGCATCGGTGGTCAATAGTCGCTACATCACATAGAGGAGCAAGCAGACGTACGCTTCCTGATGGGAAGAGCACACCAGCCCCCCGAGACGGGATCTGCTCCATGTTCCCCATCTGCTACCCCCTGTCCTCCTTGAGCTACGGATAATACAGAGGCCAAAGAGACCTGCTGAATGACGCCACAGGGCCACACTCAGCAAAGTCCGGTCTGTGGAGGACTGCTGGGCACGTGTCATGCATCCTGGTTTCTTCAACAAATAAACTGCAATGGGGAAAAAAAGAAATGGAAGGTAAACACGCATTAAAAGGGGATTTAAGGGGCGCCTGGGTGGCTCAGTCGGTTGAGCATCTGACTTCGGCTCAGGTCAGGATCTCGCAGTTTTGTGAGTTCGGGCCCCGCGTCGGCCTCTGTGCCGACAGCTCGGAGCCTGGAGCCTGTTTCAGATTCTGTGCCTCCCTCTCTCTGCCCCTTCCCCGCTCATGCTCTGTCTCTCAAAAATGAATAAATGTTAAAAACAATTTTTTTTTTAAAAGGGGATTTAAGGGACACATCAGTCACACCATGTAAGCATTATTTGTGTGATTCACACAAACGACCAGCAGCAACTGACAACATTCAGGAGACAACTGGAAAAAAGGATACTGACTGTGTATCTAGGAACATTTAATATTGTTTGGAAAAAGGACACCAATCTGCAAGGTTATGCAATTTCTCCAGCCACTATGAAGGATTTAGAGTTAAGGGAGGGAATGTCTATTAAACAAGCTCCTGGTAGGTTGAGGATGGGCGAATGAATGAGTTAGCTCGTCCATGAGTTGAGAATATTGGGGTTTTGCCTTAAATATTCACAGTATTGTTAAATATCTAATGAAATATTGTATATAAAAAAGTACTTCGAGGGGCGCCTGGGTGGCTCAGTCTGTTAAGCATCCAACTCTTGATTTTGGTTCAGGTCGTGATCCCAGGATCGTGGGATCTGGCCCCTCACTGGGCTCCACGCTGACATCTTGGAGCCTGCTTGGGATTCTCTCTCTCCCTCTCTCTCTGCTCCTCCCCTGCTTGCACGCGCTCCCTCTCAGTCTCTCTCAAAACAAATCAATAAAAAAAAAAAAAAAGTACTTGAAAACTTTGAAGTTTGATTTAAGATTAGGGCTCGAAATCTTTGAAAGCCAGTCAGTGCACATAGAGTCTCAATAAATACATTCATTATTTGCCGATAGGTTGGTTTGTTTTCCCAGCATACTCACAGTGATCATAGTGTTCTGAACCCCAGAATGGGGCGTGCGGTCTGACAATAGGGTATTTTCTCATTTGTGAGTGTATTTAGATGAAAGCTCCTATTCAGGTGTAACATTTAAGTCATAATTAGTCGTATGTTTCATGAATCCCTTTTAGGGAAAGTACAAAGGTACACGAAATGGAAGGGAATCCAGAAAACCATATGGAGCATCCCCTTAATTATGCCCCACACGAGTCAGAGCCTGTCAGAGAACTGTGTCGGGCGTGTTCACCAGGCTTTCAGAAGTGGGGGAACTGGAAGACAGCCCGAGAAAGCGATGAGGGTAACAAGAGTGATGGAGACCAGGAGCCACGGGGAGCAGTCACGGGAGCCTAGAGTGTTTCACCGGGGAAACCGAGGGGGTTCAGAGTCACGGCCTCCAAGTTTACTGTGTGCCCTTAATCACCTGAAGTCGATAGCTAGATCCGTGAGCATACACAGGGTGAAACCAGAAGAAATGCACTGTAAAAAAGAAACAGTGTGTCCCCACCCATCTTCTGCAATTGCTTCCATAGGGACAGCCGTGACCGGCACCTGGCCGAACCCCAGTGTTCGTCCTGCCGGACCTGCCGCAGCCTTTGCCATCAGCTCCTTGAGAGGCTTCCTTCCCTTGGATTCCAGGACACCGAAACTGCCAGGTGTCCTACCTCATGAGCCTGCCCCCGCTTGGCCAAAAACATGAGGTCGTCCAGACTCCTGTGTCTTTCTCATATTCTTACCTGCTCTGACAGCACAGCTCACCGGCTCACCCTTCAAAAGCCTACCCAGAGTAGGACCGTTTCTCTCCGTCCCCCTCCATCCTCCTTGTTGGCTGCCCGCAACCCCCCAGGGTGCGGCAATGGCCTCCCCTCTACCCTCCCGGCTCTCTCTCCCTCTGCCCTACCCTCAGGTTTCAACTCAGCAGTCAGGATGGTCTGATGAAACCAGCATCGGAGCATGTCACTGCTCTGCTCCCATCTCTCAGAGCACAAGCCAGTGTCAGAGTGACCCACGTCCCCTCCACCACCCCCTGTCCGGGCCGCTCCCTCCTTAAGGACTTGCACTGGCTCTTCCTGGTGCCAGGAATGCCCTTCCCTGCGATATCAGTAGGGCTCATTCCCTCGATTACTTCGGTTCCTAACTCTGATGTCTTTTCTCAACAAAGCCCTCTGGGACCCCTGTTTAAAATTGCACCCCCCGCCCCCCAACCCCAGCACTTTCTTGTCTCCACAGCACTATCGCCAGCTGGCATCTTATGGATTTTGTTCGTTTGATGTCCCCTGTGGGGCAAGGACTTTTCTCCGTTTTTTGTGGTGCTATCTCCTCAGCGTCTAGAACAATCCTTGGCACAGAGTAGGTGCTCAGTAAATACTTGTTCAATAAATTCATCAGTCAGGGTAAGAATCGCTGTCACGAAACAACCACAGAAGCTGTGAATCCTCACAAGACGAGGTGGTGCTAAGAGGGGCCTGGCCCCTCTGGATCCCTCTACCTATCGGGCACTGTCCTAGGACTGGGGATATGCCAGTGACACATCAGACGACACAAAAGCCTCCCTGCTCAGGGAGCTTGTGACATAGTGAGAGGAGGGTGACACACGATCAATAAGTAAACAAATAAACAATTTCTTATGTTAGAGAGTGATGCGTGCAAAGGAGAAAATTTAAGCAGGGCAGAAGATACAAAATACAGAGTCTATCCGTCTGCTTGGCCACCTGAACAAAGTTCCACAGACCGTGGGCTTAAACAACAAAAGTTTATTTCTGTTCGTCCCTGAGAAATCAGAGATCAGTGCTGGTAAGTGTGGGTCTTCTAAGGCCTCTCTCCTTGGTCTAGAGACGGCCATCTTCTCCCCGTGTCTTCTTACGGTCCTCCCTCTGTGTGTCTGTGTCCTAATCTAAGGACGTAGGCAGATTGGATTTGGACCCCCCCCATGTGACCTCGTTTTAGCCGAATCAGCTCTTCAAAGGCCCTGTCTCCAAATACAGTCACATGCTGAACGTGAATTTGAAGCGACACGGTTCAGCCCATAACGGGGTTTGGTGGGTGGAGGAAATTTAGAGGGCGCGCTCAGGAAGGCCCCACTAAGAAGACGATTTTTTAGCAGATCTGAAAGAGGAAGGGCACCAGCCACAGGGATACGTAGGGGAGCAGCATTCCAAGTGCAAAGGCCCAGGCGCATCTGAGGAAGAGCAGGAGAGCGAGGTTAGGTGTGTTGGCTGAACAAAGCGGAGCCCGGAGCAGATGGTCCGGGAGCGAAAAGGGTCCTGAGTCACAGGGGACGTGGGCTTCTGGGAACATGGCTGCTGATGGGGGCCAGCGGGGAGGGTGGCGAGTTCCAGGCTCATGATCCTGGGCCAGGAGGGGGCAGGGGTGATGCAGTGGAGGGAGGCGGTCATTCTCCCAGTGCTGGAATGCTGTTCCTGGCTGGCAGGAGCCGCCTGGCCTTGGAGGCAAAGACTGGTCGACCAGGGGCCGCCCCACTCTGGAGGTCCCGAGGGATCAGTGGGGCCCACGGCAGTTCACCTTCATTTCCTCTTCCCTCAGCTCCTCCCCAGTTCACCTCTTGCTGGCAGATCCCCAGCTCAGAGTGTATGTCACAGGGAACCCAACTTGAATCGAGGGGGAGGCAAACAGTGGTCAGACCCTGTTTTTTTTAAGGTAGAGCTGACAGAATTGAGACATTCGCCTCCATTGGCCAAGAATCTTGGGGGATTCAGCTGAGGTTGTCCCCAGCTTTAGGGTCTTAGTATCTCCTCAGGCCCAAGGGATTTGGAACACACCTTCTGGATACCCTAAGCCACAGCAAATGTTCTGGGCCTTTCCCACTCCTTTTCTCAGCTCCTTTTCTCACCCCCTTTTTGCTTATTGGGGGTGCAGCCAGGGCCTGGCCTTTGGAAGGACGGTGCCTCCTATCCTTCTCCTCCCTGCCCTCTCACTGTCCTTTCCCTCCCTCCCTCCGGAGAGCCCATCCTTCCCTCTGCACGCAGGGCCTCCCTTCTTGTGTCTAGAGGGGACACGTCCTTTCCATGAAGTGTCTTTATCGCCCCCTCTCCCTCCCATGCGGTCTCCCCTCTGACATGCCAAGGCCCAGCCCGTCTCAGGAAGCCTCTACCGTCCCCTCTGCCTGCATCATATCTGTGTTCCTCCCACCCAGGCCCCTAGAGCCAGCAGACCACACTTACTGCCTGCATTTCTTCCTCAATTCTTTGCAAGCTTTCTGCACAACCCTCTAATAAAACTAACCACTCAAAGGCCACCCAAACCAAGGGGCTCTTCTGAGTCCTCGTTCTTACAGACCCTGCTGAGGTTGACAAACCACTGACCTCTCCCTGCTTCCCGTAGCTTCTCTAATCTCTCAGGCTACTTCTTTCCGGTCTTTCCCCACTGCCCCTCCCAGGCTCAGACGCCTGTCTCCAAGCCCCTGCAGACACAGCCTCCTCAGAGCCTCCACCATTCATTTCTGGCCTTTTCCACTGGATGACCCTCCTTGTCTTAAACTCAGCTCAACCCCAACCACACCCACCAGCCTGCTCCCTACCGCTCCTGTCCCCGTCGATGGTGCCACACTGTCCCCTTCTCTGAACACAGGGCTCCTTTCTGACTCCTTGCTGTCCTTTTGGCCTCTCATGCAATCAGGCCCCAGACACAGCCTCTCATTTATGTCAAAGACCCTATTTCTCTCTCTGCTTTGATAGCTTGCTGGGCTCCAGGCTCCCCGGGACCTGCCTGCCTCCCCACAGCAAAGCCAAGTTGAATTTCCTGCGGCGGTCTACTCCGGGGGCTGATGGAGGTGACTTTTCATTCCTTCCTTACCTCCTCCCCTTCCACTCATGGGACCTCCAGGAGTGCTACATCTCAGGACCCGAATACCCCCAAACTTTCCCCCTCGGATGGGCCCGGCCTCCTTGTCTTCCAGGTTGCACTCGCCACTTAGGTATCAGAGCCGAGCTTTTTCTTGAATGTCTCCAGCTCCAGCCACAGAAGTCTCCAGAAAAGTTCCATGGAGCCCTGAGACCCTAGGGTGGAGTCACTTAATTGGGCTGTCAGCTGCTCCCCTCAGCAAAGGCTCTGGGCACGAAGCCTTTCTCCATCTGCTAAATGTGCCAGTGCTGGGGTGACCCTTGACCCATCAAGGCAGAGGGCATGTCAGGCCAGTGCTTGGCCCCCGTGTTGACCGTTCACTCCAAACCAGAGGGCAGTGACCTGAAAACCCAGCAGCTCTGGGATCATTCAGCCAGTTATCAGAGAGAGAGGAGCAGCCACTATAGTGCGCGGAGCCTAAGATGTACATCACACTATTGTGAAATCAGGGTACGGCCGACTATTTAATTACACAGTTTAGCGGGCAGCATTTTTTCTTTCTCAGTGGTACACAAAAGAGTGGTTCATCTTCCAACTGGTTGTGTCTTAGATTCTGTAAGCTGTAACGCTCAAGGGCTGGTCTTTGCTGTAGGGAAATTTCTACAATATATACAGCATGTACTAGGCAGAGCTTTCACTTATGTGATGCTACAGAAGGCACCAAAGAGGGAGAGAGTTCAAAAGTCTACGGCCCTCCCTGAGATCTTAGTCCTAATTTGGGAAACAGAGCTAAAAGAAAAGAAATATAAAAACACTTCTCAAGCAACACGTGAGCAAATGAGAGCTGAAGTGTACCTCTGTGAATCTGAGTGCATACAAACGGTATCTCCTGGGACCTCGTTATTTCGGGAGGTCTTCCTGGAAGAAGTGAGCTTCAAGTCTAAAAGGAAAGGAGGGGCTTCTGGGTGGCTCAGTTGGTTAAGAGTCCGACTCTGGATTTCGGCTCAGGCCATGATCTCAAGGTTCATGGGTTCAAGCCCTGAGTGGGGCTCTGCCATGACAGAGCGGAGCCTACTGGGATTCTCGCTTTCTCCCTCTCTCTCTGCCCCTCCCCCACTCATACTCTCCCTCTCCCTCTCTCGGCAAAATGAATACACTTAAAAACATAAATAAAAGGAAAGGAAAAGTGGGCCAAAGGCTAGTCTGTGTCATTTCATGGGAATCCTGTTCTCAAGAGGATAAAAATTTCCATTTTATAGAGGATGAAAGTGTTTGGACAGCTTATGAGCATCATTCCTGGGATATCCACTGTTTTGTAAGTGAATTTGTGAGTAACAGGACAGAAGGCTGAGGAATGACTTGAATCTGTGCCACGTGTTCACATTTATTTTATTCCCCAAATCATCACCTGGGAGGTTGTCCACAGAAGATTGAATGTCTGTCGTTCCTGGTCATTCCTGAATTTCTGCAAGGGCACCACAGCGTCCTGCTTGGCACTGGGGGCTCTGTTCCTTCTGGAACATGTGCCAGAGGCAAACAGCTTGACCCACACACAGTGTGAGTAGGTTGGGGCGAGAGGGGCTCGGCTGTTTTGGGAGCCTGACAGGAACACCTGGATGGAGAGATCTCTGGGGCTGTCCATACATACCCATCACAGCAGAGGGAGATGAAACCTCTAAACCCACCCCAAGAGCCATTTTAGGTAATCCCCTGCCCTTCTCCCCTCCCCTGAAGACGAGTCCTACATCTGGCTAGAACCCAGTGCCCAGAGGGACCCTGCCTTCCTGGACTGAGCTGGGAGGTCATACACCGAGAGAGGCAGCATACAATAATGGATGACGCACGGGTATGTGCAGGGGTCCATATGCTTCGAGTACAAACGGGCTGGTAACAGGCGGCCCTGAAGTCAAGGACTATACGCAACAGAGTGGGAGGAGGGACTGAACGATGGAGGGGGAAAGGCATCCGCAGGGAGAGGGAAGAGACCCCTCTCTCCGCATCTCGCAGCTGCCCCGCTGGTTACTTCCTAAGCATTCGGCCCTGACCTCCTCTGACTCCGCACCCAGCAGATTAGCCTTTGGACAGATACTGCCGCCATCTGACAGGTGAGGAAAGCGGGCCCAGAGAAGTCAAGGTCACATAGGTGACACGCCTAGAGATCACGGTCTCAGTTCTCTCTGAGCCCACACGCCTGTGATCTCCCCAAACTCCGCCTGGTGTGCCAGTGGACCACAATATCCTCACGTATAGAAAGCTACTAAAAGGCGACATTTGTTGAACACTTGGCACTCGCCGGGCACTCGCTCGGCCCCTTCTGGGAGTCAACCCTGACTCCTCACCCCAACCCCAAACCTGCTTTCCCCGCAGGGCAGCGGAGGCACCTAGCTCTGAAGTGACCGGCCCAGGGTCTCTCGGGCTGGGCCTGGCGAGGGCCGGCCTCCGCCCCGGACTCTAGCGTCGCAGCCCCGCGGGCCAGGCCCCGGGCTGCCCACAGAAGGCCGCGGCGTCCAGCGGCGTTTTCAGGCTCCCCGGGGCGCCCCGCGTCCTCCCGCGCGCCCAGGAACGTATGGAATCTTCCTCTTCGGCCGCCGCCCACCGCAGGGAGGACGTCCCCTCGGGCCCCGGCCCCGGGATCAACCCCCAGAGCGAGTCCCGGGGGCACGGGGAGCCGCCGCC